AAAGAACAGTTTCCAATTCCCATTGCTTCAAACTTGTTAAATATTGTTAGTCGTCAAGAAAATAATTCCAAGTCCAAGTCTAAGAAAGAAAAAACAGGCAAGTTCCACTACATGTTGTCTAGGGTAGATGACCAGACTCACATACGACATGTCGTAAGCAATCAGGCCTTCCTTCCAGCTGTGTGTGCCACTGCCAGAAAAATCTAGTCTTTTGGTCAGAGTCAAGAGAGACGCGTGTGCTTGATGATGCAGTCATGTGTGTACCAAATAATACCCAAATTTTATTTTATTATTTATTATTCTTTTTTTCTTCCTAATTTCGTGCTCAAAACCATTTTGAAAACAGGAAAAGTCTCATTCAAAAGTCACGGATTTTGCAAACCATTTGCAGATCAAAAGCTCAAAAGCTCTCTGGTAAAGTGTAAAGCAGATAGCTTTGCATTGTATTGCATTCACAGTTTCACACAAATCCCATTACTTGTTATCCAAAATCACCTACTATGCTCTGCTGAATTTGGTCGAGAATCACGGGCACCATTAAAGCCCCAAACACCCACTTCAGGGTTTCTGAACCCTTAAAAGAAAAAAGCTTCCTTTGCTTGGTTTCAAGTTTGAAGTTTGAACATGGCTGCCAAAGAGTCGAGCTCTGCTTCTTCAACGGATGCTAAAATCAAAAGGGAGCTCACCCATGGTGGTCGATACGCGCAGTACAATGTGTTTGGGAACTTGTTTGAGGTCTCTAGCAAGTACGTGCCTCCCATTAGGCCTATTGGTAGAGGTGCATATGGCATTGTCTGGTAAGCTTTCTACGTTCAAAAATTGATCTTTAGCTTCTTTTGCTATGTGGGGCACTTTTAATTTTGTATATTTACTTTTGTTTGGTTTTGTTGACATTTCTGTCGGTATATTTTGCTTTACTTTAGAACTGGTTTCAACGTTTTTATGTTGAGTTTGGTCTGTTGAGTAATTTGAGTGATATTCCTTTGTCCGGATGATATTCAAGATTATATTGCAGAAAACATGCCCAAAATAGAGGAAGAAGGAACTCTGTATATAATTCGTACTTTGTTGTTGAAATCATTTGATATCTCAATGGAGGGGCATTTTATTGTACATAACAGGTTCAATAATTTATTATATTGTTATTTTGTTTTCTGTGTGTGTGTTGTTTTTATATGAGTTTGGTTACAAATGCTAACATACAGCAGAGCTGGTTTCTTTAATATAGCTGATGCTTATTAGCCACTCCTTTTGGATTAGGCATCTATTCTTTGCAATTGTTTCTTTGCTGTTCATGAAGTTTGTATGCGTGGTTTCATGCCTTGCTTCTGCTCATCATGTGTTGTGAAGAGCAGATTAGCCTAGAAGACTGCTTGTAATACTGAGGAAAGCGTTTCCTTATGGTTCTTTTTCTTGACAAGTATGATTTTGGGATACAGTGTGGTGGATAACACAATTTCTTTCTTTTCAGTGCGGCTGTCAATGCAGACACACATGAGGAAGTTGCAATTAAGAAGATTGGTAATGCATTTGACAATATAATAGATGCCAAAAGGACCTTAAGAGAAATCAAGCTTCTTCGCCACATGGACCATGAAAATGTAAGTTTTATATCCAAGAGTAATATAACAAAACATGAAAGCAAGTCTTTTTCTTTGGATGAAACTTGAAAGCAAGCCTAAGACAGGACAGCTGATATTGGTACGTCGTTAATGATTCTGCAGGATACATTACTGCATCTTCAATGTATGATGGGTTTAGCATCTTTTTGTTGTCTCTCTGGGTTTTCTCTGAAAACTATTCTTCAGCATTCTGTTATTTTCTGCCTTTTCTCCTGTTAGCTTGTAGAAGGGGTGGGCAGTCTATGCCAAGTCTCCTACCAGCACCCCACCATCAGTCATTTATGGCAAATAGTTTTGTTTTTCTTTAATGACTATCTATTCCAGACCTGGTTTGGCCTTCTGTTGTACTGCATATATTACTCTTTCTATTTGGGTCTCTTCAGAATTACAGCTCATTAATTCCCTTCACAGGTTATTTCCATCAAGGACATTGTACGACCACCAAAAAAAGAGACCTTCAATGACGTATACATTGTTTATGAACTAATGGATACCGATCTTCATCAGATCATTCGGTCTGACCAACCACTAACAGATGATCATTGTCAGGTTTGGCACCAATATTATCACTGGGGCTTCTTACCTTGTCATTGTGATTATATAGTTCAAATTATCAATGTACTGTGGTTCTTTGCTTTTTTTCTTTTTGCATACTTTGATTACATAGGGAATCTTAATAATATAATCTATTACTTTTTTTTTTCTCTGTTCTTATAGGTTTTTAAGTGGCATGTTTCGTAAGTTTGATGAATATGAACTTTTATTTTTTAATAAACGAGGTAGATGGAACCTTATATACAAATACCTTGAACTTGAAGAGAATTCATGTAAAACTAAATATTTGTGATTATTGTTAATCTTAAAGGAAAAAAAAAGTCGTTCAAAACAAATTAATTGAAGTGTTATTAAATATTTTTGTTATTGTAAGTTTTTTCTCAGCTTTTTCATAAAGAAATATCAAATTGCGACCCTTTGTTTCGGATATTGTTTAGAATTCATAATATTGCAACCAGGTTTCATTACTTTGCTTGGGTTTAAAGTCATACATGAAATTGATATTTTGTGTATCCTATGCAGTACTTTCTGTATCAGCTGTTACGAGGACTAAAATATGTGCATTCAGCCCATGTCTTGCACCGTGATCTGAAGCCAAGTAATTTGTTTCTTAATGCTAACTGCGACCTTAAAATCGGAGATTTTGGACTAGCAAGAACAACAACTGAGACAGATTTCATGACTGAGTATGTTGTCACTCGTTGGTATCGAGCACCAGAGTTGCTACTTAATTGTTCAGAGTACACTGCTGCAATTGATATCTGGTCTGTTGGTTGCATACTTGGCGAAATCATGACCAGAGAACCTTTGTTTCCTGGGAAAGATTATGTCCATCAGCTAAGGCTTATCACAGAGGTACTACTTTTGGAACTTCAAAATGAACTTGAAATTTAATTAAGCATGCTTTTAGTTTTTCATTTGATGTATGGTTGACATTTGTTAAATTAACTGGATGGCCAACCTGTTTTGATAGTTGCCTCCAGTCTCCAACCCCTTTCTCTCTCCTAAATTTCCCACTCTCTGGAGAATACCTTTCCAATCATAACATTTGAGCAAGGATTCACACCTGATCACCTAGGTGGCTGGGTAGAGAAAGTGCCTAGACCAAGTTCAGTTGACATATTTCATAATGGGCACACACAGGTACCACCGTAGTGCAAAACACCCGAGTTTCTTCTGATTCCTGGGGTATCTTCGTCATTAATAATTGTCTGACAACTAGGTCAGCTATTGTAGCCTTCAGGAAATGCTAGCTTTGTATGTTCCTCCCTGAGTTCTAATGTCAATAGGCTGTTAATTTGTGCTAAGATATCATGGTAAAAGATTGGTTGTCAATATGTTCTAAAGATTATCATGTAAATTGTCAAACTGATAGTACTAATATAGTCGTGACATGCTTTTGGTTCATATCATCTCACATGGTGCTGGGCCCTTCGTAATTAGCCACCTGTACTATAATAATTTACCATTTTTATATCGTATCCTTATTTATTCTTTATTCGAAAGTCCTTTATATGTTCATTCTTGTAAGATGTACATGGAACATAATGTGTTATTGTTCCTTTTGTTTAAAGTTAATAGGTTCACCTGATGATGCTAGCCTTGGGTTTCTTCGAAGCGATAATACCCGAAGATATGTAAAACAGCTTCCACAATTCCGGAGGCAACAATTTGCTGCTAGATTCCCTAATATGTCTCCTGGGGCTGTGGATTTGCTAGAGAAAATGCTCGTGTTTGATCCCCATAGACGCATTAGTGGTATGAGAAATGGGTCCAAATTTTCAAGAGTTTCATTTCAAAGTAGAGGATCATATTATGAGTCCATTTTTCCTGATTTCTGTTTTTAATCTGTTTGCAGTTGACGAGGCACTTTGTCACCCATACTTGTCGTCCCTTCATGATAACAATGATGAGCCCGTCTGTGCCAGGCCCTTCCATTTTGATTTTGAGCAACCATCGTGCACTGAAGAGCACATCAAAGAGCTCATCTGGAGAGAAACAGTGAAGTTCAATCCAGATCCAACCCACTAAAGGAAAATGCGTTTGTTTGGGCTGTAGATATATATGTATTATGAAGAACTTCCCCCCTTGTAACAAATGTGTCATCAATCACCACTCCCCTGTAACTGATGTGCGAATGGTTGTTATTTGTTAAGGCTTCAAAGCAATATTGAAGTGAGGTTGGGGAAAATGATTTAGAGCTTGGCACAAAAATTCTAGATGTTGTACTGACTTGGTTATGGAATTTTTCTTTTCACCGATCATATAAAATCAATAGATTTGAAGAGCTGTTTTCTTGTTTCTATTTTTTTAAATCTTGCACATTTTAGATCATCGTTTGCTTCTAATCTGGTTTTATTATTTTGTTTATCATGATGATGTTTTTGTTGCTCCCTGTTTTGAGAACTTGTTTCTGCATAAGAAAACAATCGTCTCACCATGAGGGTGTAGATTGACAGAGTCTCTCTGGAAATTGAGGTATGATATATAATCCATTGTCGTATTTTTGGCTAGAAATGTTTCATCTGTTCTTTTCAATAAATCATTTTGTGGTTAGGAACCTAAAAATATGCCACGTCTCGTTTTATTATTTTGTTTATCATGATGATGTTTTTGTTGCTCCCTGTTTTGAGAACTTGTTTCTGCATAAGAAAACAATCGTCTCACCATGAGGGTGTAGATTGACAGAGTCTCTCTGGAAATTGAGGTATGATATATAATCCATTGTCGTATTTTTGGCTAGAAATGTTCCATCTGTTCTTTTCAATAAATCATTTTGTGGTTAGGAACCTAAAAATATGCCACGTCTCATACATCAAGCAGTCAGATTTAACTTAAAATTTTTTTTCTCGATTGTTTTAAATAAAACTTTGTAATATAATCAATCATTGTTCATCGGAAACAAATTCCTAAACAAGTTTCAATCTATCACCAGTGCTTCCTCCTGTAAGAGCACACCTGAACTTGAACATTATCAATTGGCAGGCTCTCTTCTGGAAAATTACATGCTGCAACCTTAATTGGCCCCTGGTCTGCCAGAAGCCCACATGCCTGCGGAACCACACTACTTGAAATCCCAGCAACATCAGTGCAATTCCATGGCAATTTCTTTGCCTTCTTTGCCAGTGTAATCGTAACGTTCGATATGCAAATTCCAGTAAACGGATCACCAGGTATTCCCTCCAGCTTAGCTGCCATTGTTACATTCTCAGCAACCATGTCATGATAATTTATATTCTGGATCACAGGAAGAGCATTAGGATCATAGCCATTGTCTGCATGTGATCCATAGTTTCCTGTCATCCAAAATGCCCATTTCATGGTTTTCATAGTCATTCCTCTCACATATATGTCTTTCACAAAGCCTCCTCTTCCCACAGCAGTTTTGATCCTAACTCCTGATTCTGAATCAATGGCCAGAATGTCCTCTGCCCTCACATCTTGGATCCCACCAGACATCTCACTCCCAAGTGCAATCACAGCACTGAATGGAGAAATGCATGTGAGCCGTCTGATCACAAGCTGCTTAGTTGGCATCCCAAAAGCAATACCATACTGATCCCAACCACTCTTTACTGCTATACAATCATCCCCAGAGACAATGTAGCAGTCTTCAATTTTGGTATTTGTGCAAGAATCTACACAAGATAAACCAAAATCAACTTTATTATATGCATGATAATTATGGAAAAACTATAGTAGAGTAAAAATTAGCAGTTGGCAATCGTAACTTTTGAAAACATAGTTTTATATTAGCAATTCAAAAGCATTTCTACTATTTTTGACAGCAAATAGTTTTATATTAGCAATTCAAAAGCACTTCTACTATTTTGACAGCAAAGTGTGCCTTAAATTTTGTGCAGATAAACAAGAAACTAGTGTATATGAAACACATTATGCTTACCTGGGTTGATCCCATCTGTGTTTGGAGATGTCACTGGTGCAAGAATTGTAATGCCTTGGACAAGAACATTGCTGCATTTTATTACAACAAATCTTAGAATTCAAAAAGGTTAAACTTTATGAGTTACACAATTTGTTTCATACATGCTACCGCAGCAAATTTGATGCTTTTTACTTCTTTTACTGACATAAGAGAGAAGAAAAAAAGGCTGAGATGGAGAAAGGAACCTGCTGTAAACAGGATGGACGTTCCATGATGGAGAATTAATCAAAGTGAGATTGGAAATTTGGATATTTTCAGAATACATGATTTCGATCAGGTACGGTCGGGTGTACTTTAACTCTCCCTTCTTGAATTTTTGCCACCATAATTCACCTTGACCGTCAATGGTGCCATTGTCCCCTAATATCAACATGTACCTAGTGTAAGCAACTCTACACCTACTTTTTTTGGTAAAGAACTCTACAACAACTTCAATCGCATAACTTAATCACATTACATGCTTGTTAATTACCTGTTATTACAACATCAGTGAGATTGGTTCCAAATATCAGACTGATGAATCTCCCACCGTCCGTGTCCCTCCCTCGACCGTACGATGGAAGTGGTTCGATCACCGGCCATTCACTCTCCTCCTAGAAATATTGTGAAAATACAAGAAAAATAACCAAAAAAAGTTCAAAACATGTTCATCGTCATGCACACTAGATGCACCAGAACACCTAGAACATATGTTACACAAAAATGATGACCTAAAAAATCTTACAACAACCACTTTATTTTGAAAAATAACATGTGGTTGGAAGGTTATTTTTGGATTTGACTCTCTCTGCACATCTGTCCTGCATGCTGTCACGGATTTGCTCCCTTTTTTTTTTTCTTTTTTCAATTCTTCCTTCAAATAAAAATGATTCTGATCACAACAAGAATGCATTTTACTTCCACCCTTTTGGATTTAGTTTCATTTACAAGACCCAAATGTAAACAACTATCCATTTGTGTTAGAGAGATTGTTCATAAAAATTCTCTAACCTGAGAAGCAAGAAGAACTGCATCTTTATGGAGATAGAGGGTGAAATGGCTGGTGAGGTTGAAGCTGCCAGTTAACCATTTACCAGGAGGAACAAAGAGCTGTGCCCCACCATCAGATTGATACTGACTGAGATGATTGATGGCAGCCTGAAAAGCCTTGGTGTTTGATGTGCTTCCATCACCAACTCCTCCAAACTCTGCCAAGGAAGCACTGTGGGCTCTGCAACTCATGGCGCAGTACTCAAAGTAGTCTAAATCTTCCCGGGCCTTGCGGCTTTTAACTCCTTTTGTTGTGGCCAATAAAACCACAACAACTATTGCCATCACCATCTCAGATAACTGCAACATAGAAAAACAAAAAACAAAAAACAGAGTTTCTGATGGGATTTCTGTAATTATTGCCTGCATTTTTTTTTGGTTTCTGGATGAAAGCAGGCAGACCCAATAGGGTAAATTCAACAAGAAAAAGAAGAGAGAAAAGTTCATGTAACAAAACTTCCAAAGAGCAATGCTTTTATGGGTGCATCAAAAACAGTTTGTAGAGTTGAGAGGAGAGGAAGATTAATGGAAGAGAGAGCTTACCTGAGATGTCAGGGGAACCTTCCACAACTTCATTATACAAAACAATGGCAGTTGCTCAAACCTTGTCTTTTGGTTTGTTGCAAAATGAAGTGTATATATATATATAGATAGATAGAAGTTGCAGTTTGTGTACTTTTTCTTTCTGAGACTTGTTTGAATGCAGAACAAAATGGGTGGAGAAGATAAAGTTAGTTTACCCTTTTCACCCCAAAGCTTGTATCTTTGTCAAAGTATCATTCTTTGAGAATGTTTAATATTTTATTTTTATTTTTATTTTTTTAAAACTTAAAGACAACTCCCTTAGAGCACTTTCAACAGTTTGCCCTTCGCCATGGCAAGGGGGGCTAAGGCAGCTACTATTCATGTGAATAGTGGCTGCCCTTGCAAAGTTTGTAGTGTTTCCACTAATTGCCATGGCTACAACTATTCACATGAGATATGAGGAGATAAATTTGTATAGAGTTTTGGTGTGGGAAATGAAAAATATGACTAAGTATTTATTTTTTTTTAAATCCGAAATTTTTTGTATTTTTCGTATAGATTTAAAAATAAATAAAAAATTTGTTGCTGACGTCAGCAAACCCGAGCTTGAACTCAGGCTGAACTCCCCCTCTAGCCAGCCCAATCTCGTGGCCCCCACCTCCTGCCCGGGCCAGCCTTTGTTGCTCGAACGTATTTTTGGCCCAAACCCCCACCCCCCGCAAAAACCGTGCTGCTGGACTTGCTCTTAGCTGTGCCTTAACCAAAGCCTTTTATGCATATGTTACTTAAGTGTGGTCATAATTTATTGTAATAACCATGATTTGATTGACAAATTAATCACAATTAAAAGATGTAACAAGCAAGTTTTGGATTTTGCTGCATCAGATTAAAAGACATGTGATGTGATTCAATAAGAAATTTGAGGGCATCATTGTTTGGTGTTCACATGGTCAGTTTCAATATAGAAAGAAGTGGAAGAACGTTTTCCATAAAACTTCCAAAACTGGAAGACATGTATGTAGTCTAATGATGGTGTCAATGTGGAAAAAGCACTAACACAAAGAATGCCCAGTGCGCACTATAGAAAGCATCCCCACTTTTTCCTTTGTTATTTGTGTGAAGAATTTCATCCTCTTCTCTCTCCCTCTAGAGAAAGTATGTTTATCTACCTTGTTATTTTGTAGCCCTTAGATTGGCGACAATCTTGAAACACTAGGAAGTCAGTGCTGCCCTCACCTTGTGACATTGGAGAGAACCCTAAAACAGTAGGGAGTCTTCATATGCCACATTAGTTGGTAACAAAAAGTTGATATACAAGTTGGTGTTCGTAACGTTACTAAAATACATTGATTGACAATGCGCCACTGATTATAGATTGATATCTTCTAATTTCTTGTGAAGGAATGGTCATTTGAACAATCGAATCTGAGAAAATTTGGTATTCCACAATAAAATGGCAAAGGTGAGGTCATCTGCGGTGGTTGCTTTGTTGGTATGTAATATGACACCCACTATGGCTTTAGAGCATAAAGAAAAGAAGTTGATTTTGGCTTATTATGATGTGTGGTGTTGATTGGGGGTCCACAGTTTCACAATACCTTGTCATTTATCCACCCGTGACTTTGAGCAATGTGGACGGCTCTTCACGGGCATTGCTTAATTAGTGGAGGGAAAGAGGGAAGCAAACCAAGCCCTCTTTCTTTGATGTTATCACAATCTACATATGCACCACCCACTTTTCTCTGTTCCTAAACTTTTTATTGCAATTCAGAATCTTGTTTTATGATCAGAAAACTAATGTTTATGTATATTTATGTTAAACATAAGAGTATTTTCATCCATTAGCTATGACAAAATGTAAGGGGAGGCAATGATTGTTACTATTCACATGAATAGTGTCTGCTCTTTCAATTTTTTTTGTTGATTTTCCACCTATTGCAATGGTAACCCAATGGCAATTACTTTTCACATGAGATATGAGGAGAGGAATTTGTATAGAGTTTTGGTGTGGGAAGTGAAGAATATGGCTAGGTATTTATTTAAAACAAATTCTTAAAATTCTGGTCTTTTTTTCCCTTTTTCCTTCAATTTTTTTGTTATTTAAATTGACTGCTGATGTCACAAAGACGTCAGCATTAGGTCAACTTACCTAGGCAATAGCCCAAACAAGTCTTGCCTTCGAGCTTAGCTTGCCCAGGTTGGTGGAGCCCAGCTCTTGCCCTGGAAACACAAATGGGGGCCTGGGGGCCTCTTACCCGAGCTAGGGCCTCCCACTGGAAGTGCTCTAAAGAAGATAAATTGTTTAATAAACATGCATATGGTCTTTTGCGTACTTAATTTTTTGTGTAATTGTCACACAATCACGCAATATTATCACTCACTTCATGTTATGAAAAGTGTATCTACAGTCATTCACTTATATTATAACACGTAAAAATTAAGCTGAAAATTTTCAAGTTTTTGTGGGCTGGGTGGTCCTACTTGTCGTTTTTCCACTCTCATGGACCAAAAATGTGAGAAGAAACTGAAGATTGGGCTTAATTTGTGAAGAGACTTTGAAAAATCCAAGGTCAAGTAAGCTCAGTTTTGGACAACCCAAATAAGCCTGTAGTTGGCCCACTTGTGGCCTTTTTCCGCATGACGAGACAAGTGGAAAAATTGCAAGGCTGATGACCTCCTTACCCAAGTTTGTAATATTTGCAGTTGTGATAAATTTGTTACAATTTAGTATAAATTTGATCTTAGTTATTAAGGTGGTGGCTAGTAAGGTTAGTAATAGTTGAGCTGTTTTGTTTGAGGAATTGCAAGATAAAAACACACAATATTAATTTGTTAAATAGAAAGTTGAAATAAAAAAATATTGAGAAAAAAGAAACAAAACCAAATAGGTCATGTCAGGCATGACCTGGTTTTCTAGCACAACCTATCATCTGTGCGCAGTGCCTGGCATGGCTATAAGTTATATGAGCATGCAACAAAAACAATGTTAAACTAATTAAACTTGTTAATTGGTGAATTCTTGAAGACACACACTAGCTACATGCAATAACAGCTTGAGAGCTGGTTGAATATATGTTTTTTGACCTAGAAAAACTCAAAGATATTTAAGGGCCCGTTTGATAACCATTTTAATTTTAGTTTTAAGTTTTTATTTTTTGTGCTAGAGTATAGAAGAAAAAAAGGGGGAATGGAAGTGAGAATGAGAGTGGAGATGAGATTGAGAGGGAAGATGAGAAGAGAGGATGGGAGGAATGAGTAACAAAAGTGAAAACAAAAACTAAAAATTGAAATCTATTTCAAATTGTTTTCACTTTTGTTACTCCTCCCTCTCATCCTCCCTCTCTTCATCTCTCTTAATCTCATCCTCACTTCCATTCTCACTCTCATTTTCCTTGGCGCAAAAAATAAAAAATGAAAACTAAAATTGAAATTATCAAACGGGCCCTAAGATTTGCAAATGCATCAGAGTCATTTTCATTCTATTTTAACTATAAAATCAAAATTTACAGGTATTAATAATGGAATGCCTATAAAAATCTGTGTAGGCAGTAAAAGTAGTGGTACCAGATGACCCTGCATCTCTCTTGGCTCGTCACCTGTCAAATATATATCTTCTTGTCCCCTACATTATTATTTCATCAGCTGTCTGCATGTTCTTGACCTAGCCAGGCAGATAGCAGAAAGGATCCAGGATTTTAGGGGCTAGTTGTTGAGTGCTCCAAATGATATAGCCCCACAAAGCTTAACTAGATATGCTCAGTTTAGAAATTTTAACAGCCAAGTATCCAGTTATTATTAGTTAAGCATTTAGGTAATATATACACCTTGATGTGTGTGAGTATTGATGATTGGCATTTGGCAACTTAATTAAGCATAATTATGATTGAAATTTGGAAAATTATGGATAATTTGTACACTTTTTTGAACCTTGTTCATAGCATGTTCTTCATCAATTGTGTATATATGTAGGGGTGAGAAGTAGATAGAGTAAGAAACAACAACCATATTGCTGATGCATGAATGAGGATGATGATCCAACAAAATGACATTTCTATAAACTGGAGTTGGTTTATGTCTAATTCCACTCAATGAACAAAAGATAAGGAAACCTCAGTTCCCTTCACAAATTCTTTCCGGTAACAAAAAAAGATTTTCGAGGAAGAAAACAGAAGGAAAATTACAAAGTTTGTTCAAGTTTTATGAATCCATGATGGATAACAAAAACACAATTCTATACATCACATGATTAGCATGAAGTCGTTTGTAAAATCCTTGTAATCATAAAAATGGATGAAATTCTTAACTCGGATGGGAAAAAAAAAACACAATTCTATACATCACATGAATCACTCAAATAGAATGTTTTGATTTATTGTTTATTTAGTTCCATGGCAATAAAGTGAAAAAATAATATAAGAAACACATGCAAGGATATATTATGATAAGAATTTTAGACCCACAAGGGCAAACTCCCATTCTTAGTTTATTAAAGTACAACTGAAAGACAGAGAGACCAAATCATGCAAAAAAACTTATCTATAACAGGGATAGCACTGTTTTGCTATCCCCTCCAATAACACAATGATACATGAAAAAATTATCTTACGTGTCATTGCATTATTGGCTGGAAATAGCAAAAAGTACTATCCTTGTTACATGAGAGTTTCTCTATAAATCATGAAAGTAGACCCAAAGCATGAACTGCATGTCTATTGGTAATGAGAATCCATGAAGGAGAGCAAGGTAAATGTCGATAGTATCGGCGATATTATCCCGATAATATCTGATTTTTGGGGGGCCGATATTTTCGCAACAAACCATGGTGTTATCGTCAATATATCGATATTTTTATCGATATTATCCCGATAATATCGGAGACGATAATTTCAAAAATTTTATGAATGATTTGGGCAATATATCGCGATACTATCGATAATATCCCGATACGAAACCCAAAAATATTTATATACATGGATTTTGTGAAAAACATTTTACTCCTTCAACACCTTAACCACCATATCACTTATGTTTTTGTGAACCTCATAGGAACTCTATGTGGTACTAAGTCACTCATGTATCTTACCATGCAATGTATAAAGTGTAAAATATTGTAGATAAATGATTATGGTGTGTTTAATCTTCTTTCATTAATTACTATATATTTTCTACACTTATAGTGTTTGCCAGCTCGCTATATAATCAACTTAAATCAGTTAAATCCATCATGCAATGCATTTCCTTCCAATTTTTTGTGATAAACTAATAGATAATTGACTAAATAAACATCCTGCAAAGTTTCAATAAAAAATTCCAATTTTTTCTTACAATTTCCGTAGGTTTTATTCAATTTTTACCGATACCGATAATATCCCGATATTTCCATCAATATTTCCGTATTTTTGGACTTCTGATACTTTCAATACCACCGATATTTTAGACCTTGAAGGAGAGCAATATATTATTTAAACCAGAAAATTATAGTTACAGAAAGGAAAGGAAAGGAAAGGAAAGGAAAGGAAAAGAAAAGAGAAGCACCAATTCGATAATATTAATTAGTGTTCGGAAAGAGGTAAACAATTCTAAACAAATTCAAAGAAACCAAAACGGAAAGTGTCACTTTAGCGCTTCCAAATTTGACCAAACACTTGATAAAAAATTCTACATATGATTGAACCATATCAAAATTCAAACACCAAAAGAACCTCAAAATATATTATTTATAAATGACAAACTTAGGATACCCAAATATAGGCCATAACCTAATTTTGCATCAAAGCCAATCCACAAACTTACATATATATGGTTATGTATCTATGAATTTATCGAGTATTGATCGATCAATCCTCGTCTTCCCATTCCCCCCAAAAAAAAAAAAGAAAAGAAAAGAAAAGAAAAGAAAAAGTACGTACCTTGCAAATCTCACTCTTAAGGGGACTGATAAACCCCTCTTATTACACACAAATTTTTTTTATTTTTTTATTTTTTGCCAAAACACACATAATCTAACCATTGCAATATATATATATATATATATATAGAAGGTGGGAGAAATTAAGAAGTGCTTCACTTATCTCCAAACAAGTACCCAAGTGAGGAATCTCCACCAGGAACTGATTTAACTTTTGTTGTTGGACGATCCTGAAATATATATTAGAAGCAAGATCAGGTGCAGAAATATAATTAAATTCCCAAATAAAATACATCATATGTGTACATAAATTAACAAAGATATATATATAAACTTACAGTTAAGAAGTTCCCAGAATTTTGGCCTTCAGCTCTGTGATAGTTATTGGAAACGGCTGCCTTTTCTTTTTTAGCAGAGTTAGGGGTACCTGGAGGCTTTTCAGTGACGGTGTCCAAGCTGTCGATGCCGTAAGGCGGTGTTATAGGCTTAGGTGGCGGAGGTGGGCTTTGTTGCTCATCTGAGCCAAACAAGTACCCCAATGAACTTTGTCCACCACCATAGCTCCCACCTCTACTCATAGCTGCTGCTTATAGCTTGTCAAAAGAGTTTTAGGTTAAAGGAGGAAGAAAGAGAACCCTAATAAATATAAGCAAATATTTATACAATTATGTGAGGAATATGTCTCTGCACGATACCTAATTTGTCATTATTTTCTTTACTGAATAGTAATATATATAAACTTTAATTGCAAGGTTCATAATAATTCAAGCAAGATCTTTTAAAGGGGCATCCGATGGATTGACTTCCTTTGTTTCATGATGTATGTATGCCATTGTCTAACATATATGTATGTCTCCATGTAAATACAATCGTTTTGCATGATGAATACCCCTTTCTCTTTATATTATATATCTCTCCGAAAGTAGGGAAGTTTCTCTCATTCTTTTGCACATTCGTTGGAAACTTAAGTCTTTGTTCTTAGTAGTTTTATAAATCATATGTTTAGGTAGAAGGATCATATTTTAAGAATTTCCAGTGAACTCCCTTGAAGTGTTACTTTATGAAAGCTTTGGCAAGTTTTGTTAATATGTAAATCACCCACAAAAAAACTTAATCATTAGAATTGTCAACTAGCTCCACCACCCTTAACTTCATAAGAATTTACTCCATGTAGTCATACTTGAAATGAACTTCTACAATCGTGCATTTCAATTAACACTCAACTTCATCAGTACAGATTCACAGTATGACAACATAAGATCTTATATGTTGTTATGTACGATAGTGATAATATTTATATAAACTTGTGCATTTTAGTGGGACCTATCTTTCAACATTGAAATACCATTAGACTTAGTGGTAGTTAGTGTACAATATGCATTTTGTTAATCTGTAAACTCCCTATAATTAGTAAAATTAACATTTTGGAACTCAATAACAGTTGCTTTGCAAGGTAGACACAATTATAAGTTGGTTGAATGTCAAACTAAAGTAGGCTTGATTAGCCTTTTAAAGCGATATTAACCATAATTTGGGAATAGTGGTACATGATTACATAACTAGATAGAAAGTTGATGACTTAGTATCTAATAAACCTTGTTTAAGTTAACGTTATTAGATTCTTAGCTCACATACTATCCACTTTTTCTCCTCTCTTTTGATTTGTATTGAGAATTAAGCACTCAACAAGTTAAACATAAAATCAATTATAAAACTCTCTCAATCTAATCACGGCTTATTTGTAAATAGTACAAAAGTGACATAATAAGTCACCTCATGGCAGGAGAAAAAATGTGATGTGTTCCAATTATATAATTAATTGTCATTAACTCGACAAGCTCATGTGATTCTTGGGCCAAATTTTCTAAACCACATCGTTTTAAGAGCTAAAGTAATGCTTAATTGGGGTTAAATCAATAAGGTAATGCATGGATGAGTCTAACAGCATTTATAAAGGTATATATGGAACATTAGAATTGAAAAAAAGCGGGCATAGATATAGAGTAATAGCTTGATTGGCCTACTGTCTTTTATTGGACCTATAGATGAGTTGTATTTCTAGCTTACAGAACATAGCCTGGTTTTTGTACTAGTTTACCCATATTTTACTCGATAAAATGTTTTCGCTTTTTTCTATTAAAAAAAAAAAAGGAAAAATCAGTTCATTCAGATACTATTTTTTTAAAGAAAAACAGATTGAGCTGGTGGGTTTTTTAAATATATTAAAATGAGCTCTTAAGCAGTATATTTGTGGCATTTTGAGCTCTCTTTGAAGACAATACCATGGGCGGAACCACGATGTGGGCTCCGGTGGGCTATAGCATGCTATTTTTTTTGGCAAAAAAAAAAACCTATATAAACTAGTATCTTAACCTAAAAATAAATAAAAATACACAATTTCAGACATTGGCAACACCAATATGCATAGTCAGAGGTTTTTCACATTTATATATGGTGTCAAAGATTGTCCCAACACCAATAACCCACAATAAGGGTAAAGTCCTTAGCTTTAACTCTCCAAATTTATTTTTTTCATTGATTTGCTTAAAAAGAGAATCATTTTTCTAAATAAAATTCTTCCTTTCGTGAATAATATGGCTCTAATTCCTTTTGTTTTTCTTGTGTTTATAACTAGCGCGGTTTATACTAATGTATACTTTTATTTATATAAAACCCACAGAAATTGTAAGTAAAAAAAATTGATCATTTAATAACTTTAGCTAGCCCATGATAAATTCGCTCCTTGGACAATACCATGTTTTTTTGACTTCCAACAAACTGATCAATAACAAAAACTAACATCTAAAGTAGTAATTATATATACAATTTTGCTTAGTTTTGATCCTAAAAAGTTGGCAGAGAGAAGTGGTCACGAATTAATGTGATGAGGTCTTGTCAGCCATTGAGTGCATGGCTGTTTGTTTGAACCCTGTTGCAGGGAGTTGATGGGGCAAAATATGATACCCCCTATGGCCCTCAAAGTGACATAATAATTCAACCACTCATTCAAATTCAGTCGACTTGGATAGAGTATATATATATATATATATATATATATATTCCTGTTAAAGCTGCATTATAATTCGATCAGTCATGTCATCAGTTCTAGCTTAGTTTTGGACATCAATCGTTCTGAGTGAAATGCAAAACTCAAGATGAAACCTATGAGATTACAAAAGTGCAGAGAGTGTATATATTGGGAAAATAAGTCAAGGAGATTCACATTCCGTACCATATTAACATTAGAGGACCCATATAAAAGATACTATTATAAGACAGTGCCTACTACTATATGTTAGGCACTGTTTTCAGTCCCCAAATAATGCAAAAAGGATTGATAGCCCTTAGTGTCTTTTGTTACTCTCTTTAGTAATTTGCATGAGAGAACAATAATTCCAGTACTTGACTGTTGAGTTAATGACGAAAAAGAGAATGACCATTGAACATCAAAGCATCACAAGGATTTCATATATTACAAAAATCTTATTCTTACACCTCAAATATTAATGTCTTTTTCATTTTTTCTGCTTAGAGAATCTATTAACAAGACTAAATGACTCGAAAATTTTCTGCCACTAGCTAGAGTAATGACCTTGGTTATTTGGTCCAGGATATTTATCATGTTTCCCATTGAAACATTTGCCAACTAGTGCAAAGCAAGCTGTAGGTGCATATGTCCATTCACAGCAACATTATTATCTGTACATGTTGGCCTCACCACACAGCACATAACAGCCATTAACTTGCTTTGCTTTCAAGATCCGATGATTGGACGTTAATTAAGGAATTGTTTATGCCTTTAGACTCTTTTTGATACAAGCGATATTAAGGAGGAGGAATCGAATTTCGAACCTCAAATACATGGATAATACTTTTAACCACTTGAGCTACAATTCTATTGTTTTTGCCTTCAGACCTTAAGCATTAAGCAAGATATATAGCAAACAATATATTCACATATAAACCTACCTATGATATTCTGATATATAGGCACCTAAACTTGTATACTTTTAAGTTTCCTCGCTGCAATAATGGGGTTGGGTTGGATATGAACAATACAGCCGCTTGACCAATAAAAAATGAATATAAATTGTGGAACCTTTTTGAGTCATGAGTCATATGAACAAATTAAGATAAGGTAATGAAATGTTGATGTCAATTTGAGATGACCTAGGAAAGGATACAACTGGAAAAAGGGAGTGGGCTAGTTGTGGTAGAGTGAGAAACAAAGGAGCTCTACATGTATCCTCTTTGTTGAACATAACACGTAAAAGTATGAAGTGGGACCCAAATTTACAAAAGCGGGAATTCCCCATTGATAACCACATCATGGGGACTGAGAAGATCACCATCCATATATGCAAAAATATATGAGACAAATCTGTTGGATTCATGTTAAAATGAATAAACCAATTACATATAGAATGACCTAATCATGATATGTTATTATTATTAGTATTATTTAATGTTGAAGTAAAGAAACAGAGAATATTTTGACATAGCCAAAATGCAGTTGCATAAGACTAGTGCACAAATCTTGACAGCTTGTTAACAACCTGAGCTAGACATTTAAGCAAACATCTTCTCAACAATTGGTCATATATATATATATATATATATATATATGTGGAACTTAATTATTTATATTTTTTTACTTTGTATTTGTGAAGCTTATTCAGTTGATGCGAATACATTTTAATGAAATCAAACTACAAAGGTAAGATTTAATTCTTCTTGTTAAGCTACAACATTTAGCTAGCCCACACACTGAAAAATTTATGATTCCTTCCTTGATCAAGGTATTGGAAACGCATCAACTACTTCCCCTAATTTTTTTTATTCCTTATGTATTAGTAAACGCGGGGGAAGTTAGGAAGTGAATGTCACGCCCCGGACCCGGGGGTAGGTGGAAATCCCGCGCCCGGTGCGTGAGTAAAATAAAATAAAATACAAAGAAATACAAAGAAAAGTTTAAAATAAACTTATGTTATAAAAATAGTTCCCAAAATCTTACAACTTTACAATTAATAAATAAAGCTCTATCACTCTCATCTAATTCAGCCTCAACTGGTTTAGTCATTGTCTTGCCCACTAATTCATCTGAAAAATTAAACAGAGTGAGGGATGAGCAACCACCGCTCAGTGAGTAGATTATGTAATATGCCAGTCAAGCAATGCCGTTTTACACACTCTAGAAAATATCATGAAAAGATACACCAATCCAGATCATATCACATCATCCCTTCATATCTTGGTTATCCTTCATAGCATGTAACCAACCACGTGATCCCTATATTGGCTTCACTGCCCTATGTCCCCGTGTGGTACATCTATCCCTCGGATATTCCAACATTGAAGTTCTCATGTTCCATGAATAATACATACTTCATATTCCAATCAATATATATATAGTGTGAAAGATTGCACCAAATTAGACATGCTTGACTTGAAATAGAGAGATATTTGTAAATAGAATAAATCCACGATAATTCATGGTTTTCATATTTTATCACAAAATAAGAACTTTTAGAACACATTACATAAACCACTCACCTCGCTAATGAGAACCCTTTAAATAAATTGGCAAGACAACCCATCTACCTATCTCCAAATACTATCACTCA